GACAACGCTTGGCGAAGCATCACAGACTGGGAAACCTGAGAAAGGCAGGCTGCAGGTGTTGCAGACCGAGCAAATTGTTATCTTCAGAAATAGTGACAGCTTCAGGCTGGGTTCATACTGATCCGTATAACCGGGAACAGTTCCAGCACGGGTGTGCAGTTTGAGCGCTTGCTGGAACTGTTCTGGAACTAACGAACAGTATGAACCCAGACCATGAATAGTCAATGCCAATTAAGCTTTTCACTTACTCTACCAATTCCACTTCTCTCTAAACACATAAGCAGCGTTCAAAGTTCCCGTTACCGGCGAAACAAACGACCGGCTTGTGCCGGCACTCGGGAACTTTGGACGCAGCTTATGTGCTTAGTCAGTAGCGGAATGGATTGACAATCAAAGAGAATGGCAATGAAACTGGCTACCGTCGATAAATGATGCGTGAAAACACACCTTAGCCAAAAGTGCCTTCTGCATAACTTCTAAACCTCTTGAATACCGCCATTCATCCACCTTCTTCTTGTCGACCTTGAAAGAATTGCAGACGTAAATATGATGAAAGAACTAAATAAGATGCAAAACGCCTACGTTATTCAGCCGAATCACATCTTTAGCAATTTGGCTGAAGCTTTTATCCCTATGCTCACTGAAACCAACTTTTCCATCAAGACGACGTCCTTTCTCATCTCGCACTGAAACGAAAATAGGTAGATCTATAAAGTGAGTGACTGCATGTCGACAAGTTACCTGTTTCAGTCAACTTGTCGCTGACAGTTCCACAGAGGTCATGTACTTTCTGGATTTGATAGTAATGATCGCCGCTCTCATAAATTTTACCGTCGATCAGTACAGGGAACTGTAATGTGTAGCATCTAAATCGTAAGCATACGAAAAAATGAGCAGGTAAGGGGCAAGAAAAGACGAGCAGATGAAAGTCGCTATGGGAGGTAATTCTTCAGCCATCTTGTAATGAACGAAAGTATGAAAGGTCCGTTTGAAAATAACCGATTTCAGGCCTAATCTGGAAGAACTAGCCCCATCATTTCATGCCTCAATATCGCAGTAACGAGCAAGAATTGCTGAATACATTAAATATGTAATAGAAGATAATGGGGAAGTCTGTACATACTGTATGCTGTGTTGTGAAGATGCTGGAGAATC